ATCTCTGAGAAGTTTGTTTTAACCCTCTGTGCACCAAGACCACCCTTCTACAATCAACATAAAGAGTTGACACTTTATTTTTTCCTTTCCATTTCTCTTATCAAATCAACTTCAATCATACCATAAAGCTACCCAGAATTTTTTTATAAATGTATTTAAAGTTTGACATAACATTACAAATCCTAGTATCATTCCCCCTACCGTTCCCCCTATGTCAAAAGAAAGAGATTGATCATATATTCTTTACTCCTCATTAAAAACTTGATACTGGGCAACTTATTTTACCCCTTCCATAAAACTTGTAAATGAAATATGGAAATAAATTCCTTTATAAAAAGGATCATATAATTAGCAATTTAAAAAAAAAAAAGAAAAAAAAATTCTGTATCTATTGGATGCTAAAAATTTTCATAATTCAAAATGTGTACTTTTACCCCTTCCAAGGGCCATAAACCTTTGATGAGCTCAATTTTAATCTCAGTCTCACTTTTCCACTATAAATTTCTATCATAAAAGAGAGATTGAAATCAAAAGTGGGCTGGCCAAGTTTTATGGCCCCAGGGCTAGATCTTACCCCTTTCCTGCCAGCAGGTTTTTTGGCTCCAATGATGGATTTCCGTGGTTCCGCCTGAGCGGCTGCTGAAGTTGGTGACATACTTAAGGCTGCTTCTACACTGGGGCCCTCAGAGGGGTCTATGATAAAGTGCCAATTCATTATGTAACTGTAAATTCATATTGCCTAATATTCTGAGTATGCCCTTTCTCTTAAGCTAGAATGTCATTTTTGCAAACAGATCCTTACATTTAATTTAGCTGCTTTAGATATGCTATATGTTTTTATAGCTTTTTTTTTTCTTTGTACAAGTATACTTTTTTTAAATATGATATTCTTTTCATGTAGCTGAATTGTATATTTCATCATCTGCCCACATATGTCATTTCTAATTTGGGGATGTTTTGGCTCACTCTTCAACATCTGAATTTTGATTGGCTAAAATTTCATCTTACCAAAATCCTCCTTTTTCAGATTGCCATTTTTGATTGGCTGGGGCTCTGATGCACTGAACAGCTTCTGATTTTCTGCAATAGGTGTGGAGTCAATACTGTCAGCATGTTCTTTGAAGAAATCAACTTCCTCTTTTGTCGTGGGAGATGTGGGTTCATGATGACTGTCTATGTGTAACTGTAGGAAAATATACAGGTTACAGTAAAATTATTCAATGGCCTAAGGGAATGACCATTTGATTCTGAAGGGGGAGGGGTTTGGAAGATTTTGAAAATAAATAATCTGTCCTTGAAATTTTTGAATATAAATAATCTGTCCTTGACAGGCAAGAAAAAAAAAATCTGTCCTTGACTGTCAAGAAAATAAGTAATCTGTCCTTGACTGGCAAGAAAATAAATAATATGTCCTTGACAAGTGCTACTACTCCCCCCCCCCCCCCCCCCCACACACACACACACACACACCCCTTTTTTTCAGATTCAGAATCAAATGGTCATTCCCTAAAATAAAAGTTTTTAAAGTTAGATATTTGATGAATACATAAACAAATACATGTAAATGTACTTTAGGGTTCAATATAGGTAAGATCTGAAGTAAACTGGATCTTACACTAGTTCTTAGTTTATCTGTAGATAAATTTGAGTTGTTCCAAAAAAAATTTTACAATTTTACCACTATAATCTCACTAATCAGTTTAACTGCTAGGATAATGTTATAGGCATTTGTTTTGTCCTCTCAAAAGGTTTCGTTGGCATTAAATTTCTTTGTTTTGAAAGTAACTCTATTCAGTATATACATGTATAGTCACTTAAAAATTTCGTGTGGGATTTAATTTCATTGATAATTGTTAACAACAAAATAAACGAAATTTAATCCCCAATGAATATTTCTGCTTTTTACATGATTAAAGTACATTTTTATTGTTTGATACTTCAAATTCGTGGTTTAGGAGACATAATGTTTGTTTCCATACCTTCGTTCCATGGAGTCTCATAGCATTTGTTGCCAAGGAGTGGAGTTTGTCTTTATAGAGCTTGGCAGCTCTGCTGTGATATTTTTGTTGGGCATCTGATGTTGTACAACCATGCTGACGGAAAAAGGCAGTCTAAAAAGAGGAAAAAATTAAAATACAGAAAATGGAAGCTAGTGTGTTTCTCATACCGCAGAACTTCACTACAGTATAGGTCGGGATAAAAGAAAATTGGGTAGTCTCCATGCACATATAACCAGAATTTCAAAATCTGTTGGAACCTAGTACTTTTACCCGGCTGAAATCATGATTGTACCAGCTAAAATATTTGTTGGAGATAAATTTCATAACATACATAATTTAAGTCGCTTCCACAAGGTACCTCCTTTTTTGTAAAAGCATCACCTGTTTCTTATCATTACAGGAACACCTACTGATGTACACTTCAAGTGTTGAGTCTGAATCTTATAATCTACTTGTATACATGCACATAACTGTACACAGTAGGAATGCACATTATACATTAAAATGTACACATGTAAATTCAACAATTCCTGGAACGGATCTCATATACTTCTGTTAGGATTTAGATTCAACTTGTTTAGTATGTTTAGGTCAATCATAAATTCTCTGATTGGGTAATTTAAAATATCAACTTTAGGCCACACCAATATGTAAAATAGTTCTTCGGACTTTCAAAAATAAAAAGTGATGCGAGAGGGCGAAATAATTTTACAAATATTATTTTTCATTTTGGGGTTAAAAATTATGAGGCAAGCGAATACAAGTAATATAATTTTTTTAAATGAATAAAGCATGATACCAAAGAGCTAGCGCTTAAAAAATAAAAACTTAAAATAATTAGATATCATTTGTATATCACATGAACTTATGATTTATAACTTTTTTCATATTGTTTTCAATAAATAAAAAAGTTTCAGGTTTCAAAAATAATTCATAACAAGTAATGTTTTGCTACATTAAATAAGGTCTTTTTGAAGAATTTCCTCTCCAATTTGTTGTCCAATCTATCAAATCATTCAATAAATTCTGTGGTCTCGTTTGCCTGTAATTTTTCCAGGGTGAGAATATTTTTTTGAAGCTTTCATAAAACGTGAAAACGCCCCTACTTTCTGTTTGTCATGTTTTGAATGAGTGATACGTGTTACATACATTGCAATTTAGTTTCATTTCTACAGAAGTTCTTTTCAATTCCATGCAAATTCCTAGGGGCAGGTCCAGTCTTGAAATCTCAATTACATCGCTCTTAATTTTTTTTTTAAGTTTGATAGAGCAAACATCAATATTCATCAAGCCTTCCGTGGACTTTTTGATGTTCTCTTTATAGTAACATCAAACAGCACTTCTAAAGTTTCCTCCGCTTCTAGTTCGATTGCAGTATAAGGAAAAAATTCACATCCATTGTTTTTAAACTATTGATGTATCATATATATAAAGAGTAGACAGGCATCGTGAAAAACTTCACACAATGACACATTGTTACACAGTATGAGTTACGACGTACAATCTTTCTCCATCCCATGCTTCTGTCATTCCTCAACATGTGTTCCGAAGTCTTTTGTACGTTTGGTAAAAAAAGTCGAGAAAAAATGTACTTGGATATTTTTGGATGTGCAGGCGGACATATTTTTTTGATAATATTATAATTTGGAATTGTTACAAATAGAAGCGGCGAATCCAACGAACTAGATTGCAAATTGGTATGGCTTTACATTTATTTAAAAAAAATTATACATTAATTTTCTTTTTAAAGTATACATACAGCATTGGCATTTCCACCAACTTGCATTGCACGAAGTTGCAGCCATGTCCAGCTTGTGTCTAGTTGTGTGGAGCGTATAAAGGTTACGTGAACACCCAGTGACCTATGAACAGCTGAGCAGTCTATACACAAGAACACACCATATGTCACACTGGCCCATGTGGGGTTGTTGCTGTTGCAGTCAAAGCATGTCTACAAAAAAAAAAATAATTTGAAAAAAAAATTCTTTTGAGAGTTGTGATTATTAGAAAATTGATACCGAAATTTGAAAAATCTTTCTTAAGAAATATAGGTAAGAGTCGAGAGCTATGTTTCAACTTTGATAACGGAATGTCAAAATATTACCGCTTTTGGTACTAAAAATTATTGATGCTTTTTTTGTTCTATCATGATGAAATCGATTCAGTTTAAATTTAAAGGCACTACAATCAGTGCCACTCACATTGCAAGTTCTTAAGGCAACACTTTGGTGATGCAAACATTTGGATTGTGCATACTGACCCAAATTATTTTTTTTCTGAAGTTTTATTGGCAGTATATAGGAATCTCGTGTTAAATAAAACACAACTGTGCTGGTCCCAAAGGTCTAATCATAAACAATTTATTATAATAAATTATAAATTCTGGTGTAACAGTTAAAGGAATCTCCAGCTCTAATTTCTCCAGAACATTCTATTTGATCGATACATGGTCTGTATGTAACAGATAATGACTATGCTGTTATACAATACTTTTATATTAGCTATCATTACCATGTTTATTTTTTTTTTTTCCAGCAAAAAACTTTGTTTCATAATTGATGACAGGGACTGTCAACAGTTACCATTTTCAGTCTTTTGTTTGCTTATTTTAGAAATTATTGTGCACACTCCTAATCTTAGACTGATGTGTAAAATAATATTTTGTTTGTCATGGAACATATGTAAAAGCATCACATTCGCAAAATAAATTCATTTACTATGTGAGAGGAAAAAAGTGTCGGCTTACAGAGAAAATTCGAATGTATGCCACATATGCGTTTCCACACGTCAGATCAAGGGGCAGAATGTAAAAGTTCTGGGGTGGAAAGTCTGATATAGACAAAAATCCTATTACATTCTACCAAAGTGTCCCTTAAAACTAACCTTATTAGTGGGAATTGATCGCAAACGCTTGAAAATAGCATTTATATCACTTTTCGAAGGTCCATCTGCCATTTTGCCGATGTATGACGTTGTTTGTCTAGTCATCTGACTACATATTTTTCTCCTCTAAAAACTAAAGAGTTCCAACAAGCTGATTGGTTGTCAGTTCTAACAATATGGAGTCTCTCGCCACTGTTCACGTTCTTGGGTACGGAAAGGTTGCCCCACTGCTGGACGTGTAAGCATTTACGTTTCTTAGTTAAACGATGTAATGTTGCCAATAAGCCCTTAAATTATACAAATTACCAAGAGTTGTCAAAGCAAGTTTTGATAACTTTTTTTTTTTTACTTCTCTCAGTGTTTTCATAGTATCTTGTTCAAAGATACATAAACGTACATATGTTTACTTTACTGATTTGACATAAATTCTTGTATTGAAATATTCAAACAACTAATCACCCTTTCCCATTTACTTAGAAATTTCTGGCTGGTAAATAGAAGAACTTAATATATGATTTGTTCTGTTATTATTTTTTTTTTAGAACTGTGCAATGTGTAGTGAAAAATCTCTCATCCATGTGTATTGAAAGCATCACCCTGCTACCAGGCAACCTAAAAGACAAATGTCTCTACCTCATGTCAAAGAGGGGCTGTATCACAGACACAAATCTTCCAAAAGTATGTAAAACTCAGACAAGATATCAGTTCACATCAGAATGAAGGAGTTCATTCTTAGATTAAAGGAAAAGAATTAATGTACAACTATATACATTACTGTAGTTAGAATAATCTAACTGTGTCTAGGGACAGGCCCTCACCAAACTGGGTCCGTAGGACAATATATCATTTTAACGATAGAACGTTCTATCTAACATTACTGGTTTAAAAAGTAAAGTACTAATGTACAGATGACAGCCAGTATAATTTTTTTTTTAAAGCATACCTTTTAAACTTGCATCATTTTTAGCTTAAACTGTAACTTGAAATAAGTTTAAATTTCTGTAGACATACTTTTTTTCCTTGTGGAATTTAAATTTATGCTATGTACATGTATGCTGTCACATGTTTTCCATGGAAATTTGTCACAGCATACTTAAATGGCATTGAAGGCACAGAAAGGCAATCCAAGAAATCTGTTTAAATTTTTACCCACGGATTGAACAGAAATTTTGATTTTATGGAATTTTGACCCTGTGGAAAAAAGTATGTTTACAGTACAACATTGATAATGACTCTTATTTATACAGGTGATACATGAAAATCTGAAGGTTTTAGACCTTAGTGAATCAGACGTATCAGATGAAGGACTAAATCACCTCTGTAAATGTCCCCAGCTTCTAAAAATAGATCTCAACTCAGCAAAACAATCTCGTACCAACATCTCATCTCAAGGTAATTATCACCCATGTATATGTCCCCAGCTTCTAAAGATAGATTTCTCAACTCAGCAAAACAATCTCGAACCAACATCTCATCTCAAGGTAATACACTGGTCAATTTCATACAGAGTTCTTATATCCAGGGAGTAAATATACCTTATTTTCATCAGACACATCTCATTCTAAGGAGTTAAATGTACAGATTCGTGTGCCAACATGCATGTAATGTTCAATCTGAAAGGTACCAAAATCTCCATTGAAGGTAATAAACTTGGTCAATCTCAATCTAGCCATTTCCATGTGGTAAATTGTACAATCTGATACAAACAAGTTTTCTCAGTTATCATTGTAAAATCTTTTTTCTTACCAATACACCTGTATTTCAACTCAAGGTAATATATGAACAGTTATAACATGAAAACTTGCATGTGTCTCACTGTCTCTATACCTGAAAAGGAGATTATCATCACATGCTTCATTTAAAAACGATATTGGATGACAACACAAAAATAGTTTGTAACCTTTAAAAAGAAGGATAGGATGGTACCATGTACATATTTTTTTTTTAATCTTCCTTGTAAAGAAGTCATGAGAAGTACATGTAAATCATCCTAGTCCCTTCTCTCTCCACAATGACTCTGGAAACATTTAATCCCTAAACTCACTTTGTATCTTGTGCTAATTCCAGGAATTATCCAGCTAGCACAAAATTGTCATAATCTACAGACCGTCTACCTGCGAAGGTGTCTTAACCTGACAGACGAGGCTGTGATTGCCCTGTCCACAAACTGTCCACAGCTTCGTTACCTGAATGTGGGTGGGTGTTCACTTTTGACGGACAGGTGTCTAGAGGCTTTAGGGGAAAACTCACGATTTCTCAGGTGTCTCAATGTTTCCAACACCAAGGTAAATTTTCTCATGATGAAGAAATATTCAGAGCTCTGATTAGTTAGTTAGTGGCCAAGATGAAACATTTAAAAACTTGTATTTAACTTAAATTAACTTAAATTAGAATTCATCTAAAAGTTTGATCTTAATTCATCACATGCTCAATAAAGCACTTCACAAATACTGAACATTAAATTGAAATTGCCAAGTATTATATTACATACACTGGTATTATTTACATTTTCTATTACTACACAGATTACAGATGCAGGGATCATGAATATAGCAACAGGTGCCTGTAACCAGTGTCTGAAGGTAGGTTATATATATAGATATAGATAGATAGAGAGAGAGAGAGAGAGAGAGAGAGAGAGACCTTTTATCTCAAGCTCCATGGTGCCCAGAAAAAAAAATTCAAGCTACTGAAAGAAAAAGTGGTTGGAATTTCTAATTCACATTGACATATTTTACTATCCATGATTCTCTCAAAATTTTGTCAATTGTGCGAAATTAATTTGTTTCACAGGAAGTCCACATTAATGGTTGTAAGGCATTAACAGATGAGTCAGTGGAAGCAATTCTTCAATTCTGTCCACAAATCAACATATTCCTTTTCCACGGATGTCCCAAAATCACAGGTATATCAATTCTAAACTTAGACATTAATCTGAGTTACTTCCCAATAAATTGCGTTTAATTTTTTCTAAAAAAAATGTCATTATAATTTTACAATATTCTATTTAGTTTATTCTAATAAATTTGTAAAGATTGAAAGAGCATTAAGCTTGCTTTTAAAATATATTATATCAGGGATTTCAATAGGAGGGGGGAGGGTGATTTATCACTGTTTCAATAAGCGGATTTGGCTGCTTCAAGTAGTAAACTATTGAAAATAATTTTAAAAGTCTCTTCAAATGGATAAATTCACCTCTTCACTTCAAAATTATTCAGAGCCCCGATTTAGTATAATTTTTTCAATCAATGAAACAAAAATTTATGGTTCATCATCTCTCTTTTCACTCATTTTAAATTTTTGCTTTTTACACAAATAATTTTCCAAAAGAAATCCAAAGTAGAATTAAAATATACACAATTTCAGCATACCTGGCAGGGCAAACTTTTGACAGAAATTACCTTAGCTTTTGACAATTTTATAAAGGAATAATAAGGAAGACATGTAATAGAGTTGCATTAAAAGTTTAGTCTTATCAAGTTAGACTATTGAGATAAGTTTAACTTGATACAGTCTAAACTTTTGATGTAACGTTAGTCATTTATTCCAGGTAGAGTTATCTCTCTTACATGTATCAATGAACCTTAAGTAATTTTTTTTATGCTTCTATACTAAAAAGTCTTGTAATGTTATAGAGATGGCAAGGGAGGCTTTAGAGAATGTCACATTGGAACGAGCCTCACCCATGAAGCAAGTGACCTGGACTATTTATTGATTATAAATACCAAAGCCACATCTTAATCACATATCCATTGAACTTTGATCGATGACCTGAACCCTCTACTAAGAAGGCAACTCAACCAGATCAAGTGCTGTGTCATTCAGATGTTGAAAAAAAATCTACATACTATGCAATCACAAGAGGTGGTGCAAGTATTTTGCTATATTTATTTAAAGTTATCGTTTTTCTACACATTTTTTGTTTTCATTCTTCCATTTTACATTAAAAAAATGTGTAATGATCACATACCTTACAGGTTAGGGCTGTGTCAATATATCGATTAATCAATACGTATCGAATATTCAGGAATGTATCGTATAGAAAAATAACTTCCAATACGTATCGGTCAGGCAGTTTTTCTTATAATTCTGTGAAAAAGTTGGGAATTTCAGTCACCAAAGGTTATTTTTAACTGTTTTGAATTCAAAATGATCAATAGTGAAATAAACATTAAGGAGATAGCACATCTTAAATAACTATTACAAAATACATAGACAACTATATTTTAACATGTTAGTTTTACAATCATTAAAAGTTTGAATTTGAAGTGTACTTTGTAAAGACAGTGATCGAGACATGAACTTCCAATTTGGTAATAAAACACCCAGTTTTTATCAAATCTATGGATTAAATGATATACAAGTCTTTTTTGATAGACTTGTTAAAGAATCCAATTACCGCATATCGCTTTATAAAATATCGTATCGTATCGAAATATTTTGCTCAATACACAGCCCTATTACAGGTAAATTTCATAGGTTCAAAATCAGCAGTGACTGTATAGATCTAATAGATTTCTAAAGAATATTATTACAAATGTGAATGCTTGTATGAATTTGAAATATCTGTTTTCTGTTAGTTGAAATAAAATTGTAAACATTGTTAAATGAAGGTTTAGTTTATTATATGAACTATAGATTAGCATAGTTTCCATTCCACTCTAAGAACGAAAGCAAATCTGGAGTTAGCTGTATGCTTGTTTTGTAGAGTATGTGGTTTTAGCACTTATTTTGTTCTTATTTTAGTTTAGGTGTAATCCTTAAATTGACTTTACACTAAGTATCTAAACTATTATTAATTCAGATATTATTTCAATGATTTTGATTAACTAAAATGAATACATGTATAACTACCCAAAGATGCTTCCATATAAATGTTACTAATAATATTAATAATGGCTTTGCTCATTGATTTTTAATGACCCCCCATTTCTGCCTTTTCTTGATTATCTCCCCTTTGATTGGGGAGGGGGGAGGGTTGGCCCTTCATTGAACAATTAAGAACACACTTTACCCAAGGAAGATTTGTGCCAATTTAGGTTATAATTGGCCCAGTAGTTCTTGAGAAGAAGTCAAAAATGTGAAGTTTTCAGACGGTCGAATGCTAGACCATAATGGGACCAGTGGTCAGAAAAGCTCACTTGAACTTTCAGCTCAGGTGAGCTAAAAAGGTTCAAAATGTTATGTAAAGATATTTTATCATTCCATCCTTCTATTAATACTATTCTACTATTTTTTACCATACAGTTACATGAAAGTATTGTTTAATCCTCATTCATCATGATTCAGAAATGGTATCAAGTTAATTTCATTTGAAGTTTTGTAAATTCATATTGGGTGTACATTAGAAAAAGACAAATTTTGCACTGAACAAATTATGATTTTCATATTCAGAAATAATTTTTCATTAAAATAAATGAAATGTCCAACTGACTCTTTTTGATACTTTTTATTAGATATTTATATTATGCATTAATAGAAAGCAAATCTGAAGCTCTCAAGTGTCTTATTTGCAACCAAAACAATTTTTACATTTTCTCTGAAAAAAATTCATGTAAAATAATGAAACTCTCATAAGGGTCTTTTATTGGTGAATAAGAGCGATACTTTAAACATCCATTAAAAATCTATACTTATAAATTAATAAATTTTGCAAATAAACTCCGAAACGGCTGCACCAGGGTTCTTACTTATTCCTCTAACAATACACTAGATACAAGATGATGTCCGTAAACTATATTTAGATTTCACTCGCATAGTAAGTATCGTATATTAAATTAAAAGTCTACTTTCATTTTCTATAAACAATCATGAAATAGCAAAAACGTGAGTATGGTGGCGTTTCCGGTTTGCGGATCTAAGTTACTGGCAATTTTTAATGAAACTGACAACAAACAATCGTTTATTTATTTCATAAAACGTCATCGCTGAATTATTCAATCAAAACTTGATTTAAATGATATAAAAGAAAGAAGTTGTGATAACCGATCGAAAAGGGAAATGTGCAAATTATTTTCGTCATTCACCGATCTTAATATTGACGGAAGCTTCTAGAACAACAAACAGCATCGAGCCCGATGTTAAAAAGAAAAACGGGAGATTATAGCATTAAAAAAGCTTTTGTGTGATTGTTCATCAAAAAATGGTAATTCATCGATAACACTATAAGTTGTGAATATATTTATATATCGAAAGACTATTACATATATATGCAGTAGGTTTTTTTGATAAATTTTTCGGTAAAATCTGTATATATTCCTTACTGAGAGCATCGTGGCAACGAACCCGAGGTAAAGTTTGTACTTCGTATTAAACTTGCTTACATGAAAAGAGAAAATTAATGAATAAGGTATTGTTCAAATACAATTAAAGCAGTGGAATTTTGTGCTTTAATCCAAATATTTCATTTTTTTCTGAATACAGTCTTTTGTATCAAATACTCGGCCTTTTCATAGCTAGGGCGTTAAAAGCTAATTTTTACACGGGTACTTGGGTCTTGGTTTATAAATATGTATGTAGCTTATTAATATTTAAAAAAAGAATCTGCATATTCGCTGCTTTTATCATTCACCATGTTCACAGAAATGAAATAAGAGCATCTGGAGTACAATATCTATAACATAGTATAACAGGTTTCACAATAGACGTCAATTACAATGAAATTGTTATTTTTCAAGTTTTTACAAAAAAGGGGTGTGTGAGGAGACATACATCTACTTCATGTGGGATTTTGAACAAAGTATTTCTTCCTGCTATAGGTCTGTAGGCTGTCAGTACAAATTACAATATATTTTCTATCGGTAGCACTTGGTATAAATTCAATTTCCCGCGCTTGCGCGGGATTTCATCTAGTTTCTGGTGCATCATACCTCCATATAGCAGATAGTGAAAGGAAACCACACAATAAAAATATATAATTATTTTATTAACACATCATGGAAAAGTCTTATAGAGCAGACCTGTCCAAGTATGCTAAATTTCAAATTATAATTACTAAAAGTTGACAAATTTTAATTGAATTTACACTACTTTGCTATAAACCATTGCACTGTTTAAGAGTATTCATTTTATGCGAACTATGATTGTAACCTTGTAAAACAAAGTTTGGAATGAGATATTTGATTTTTAACAGATTGAATGTATAATTAGAAGTCTGTGACGAGACTGTAGCTCTACTGTTGTTTACTATCGATCTTGGTAAAGTCTACTTGTGTACCTACTCCTACAAGTAAGAGCCTCGTTTAAAGTCCCTACGCTCCTTAAATACCTCGCGGCACCAAGTCAAAAGTACCTCGCCATAAACCTCTAGCATGCTGGAGTACCAAGTCTTATGGAAATCTGAATAAATCTGTAGGAGGAGTAACGTTTTGAAAGAATTTCACAAAAATGTCTATTTAAACTAACACCTGGCAACATCAATTGTTGAAATCAATGATTGATTGTATGTTGTTTTACGTCCCGCTCGAGCATTTTTCACTCATATAGACACGTCACCATATACCGATGAAGGGCTTCAAATTTAGACCTTACCCGACACTCAGGGCCATTAAGCAGTGAGGGTTCTTTATTGTGCCAACGCCTACCGTGACACGGGGCCTTGGATTTCAAGGTCTCATCCGGAGGACCCGTGTTGAAATCAAAAACCAATTAATAGAATTATTTATTTAAGTATAGTCTAGTTGCACACCACATTTTATTGAAATTTAAACTGTAGGAGGAGGATTTTTTTGTAACTATGGCACCAACGTTTTGTCATAATCAAAAAGTAATACAGAGAATTATTTATCTTTAATACAGTCGTCTACTTGTGTACAAAATTTTATTGAAACCTAACAAAATTGTAAGAGGGGTAGCGTTTTGAAAGAATTTCACAGAAATTTCTATTTTATTAACCATGGCAACAACCACTTGGAAATCAAAAACCGATATACAGAATCATGTATCTAAGTAAAGTCTACTTTTGTACCAAGTCACATTGAAATCGGACCAAACCTGTAGGAAGAATAGGGCTTTGAAAGAAATTCAAAGAAATTCTGATTTTTAGTTACCATGGCAACACCCTGTGTAGAAATCAAAAACCGACACATAGAATCGTGTATCTTAGAGTCGTCTACTTGTTCGTTTTGAAAGAACTTCAAAGTAAATTCTGTTTTAGTAACCATGGCAACACTGTGTCAAAATAAAATAACGCTATTTAGAATTATGTATCTTAGTATAGTCTACTTCTGTACCAAGTCTTATTGAAATCAGACAAAATCTGTAAGAGGAGTAGCATTTTGAAAAAAAAAATATTTACAGACAGAAGAAGGGAAGGAATGACGCACACTTTACTAATGCATAAGCTCTTCTGGTGTCTGACCAGTAGAACTAAAAAGGAACAAAGATCTCTCTCTCTCTCTCTCTCTCTCTCTCTCTCTCTCTCTCTCAGATTGTTACAACTGCACAGACTAGAATTAAAGTTTCAATTAAAAGAAAAGAGTTTGATATAAATCTGCTTCCGCCGGAAGTATCGTCACATCCGTTGTCGTCAACCATTTCAATTCTCCCGTCAAGACCAGTGGTTAAAGGGGACATCAGCTTTATGTATTCGGCAAATACATCTGTGTCCAGAATACCTTCAAATAAACAAGAAAGAATGTTAAGTTATTCCAGCTTAAAAAGGATATCGAGTGTCCTCATGGTTCATCAATAAGTACTCTTTTTTTTCAGCAGACACTTAATTACTACTACAGTAAAACTTGTCTAATCCGGCCACCACTGGTTCCAAAGAAATTGGCCGGATTAGACAACATTCCGGATTATACAACATTTTAAATAATTGAAATTACTGAAAGGGACTTCATGTTTACATCGTATTAGGCAAGATTTCGTAATATACAACATCCGGATTAGACAAGTACTACTTTATACTAGTATTTCTATGAACTATACATATTTTATACTATCAAGATTGAGGCAGGTGAAAAAGGAAATCTAGGAAATTATTTAAAGGGGAGTTTTTGGGTTTTTTTTTAATGATTCATTCAAGTGTCCCGAGATCTATTATCCCTTTAAACCATAAAAATTAAATTTATAGACTACTCGCCATCATGATAGAAATACACCATATGTGATATAAATATGAACTACACATTTTTGCTCCGTATCAAAACATTAAGCCAAGAAAAAAAATGAACTGTGTATTGGTCTTATTAAGAACTTGTACCCCCACCCCCACCCCAAACACACCTTTAGATTAAGATGACATAAGTGGATGTCATGCACGAAATCTTACCAGTTTATATAGGTTTTTATAGGACGATCATTTGATTCGTGGGGATGGCGGGGGGCTAGCAAATTTTTCCGAGTCAGATTATTAACTTTAAAATTGGTGAAGGAAAGATTATTTATTTTCTTCTTCACTAAAAAAAGTCTGACAAACAAAAAACAAGGGGGGGGGGTGCCAAACTCCAAATTTCTCTCGGGGGGGGGGGGGGGGCACAAGTAAAGGATACAGATTAATTTTCTTGCCAGTCGAGGACATATTATTTATTTCCAACATTTTCGAGAATAGATTTATTTCAAAAATCTGCCACCCCCCCCCCCCCTTCTCAGAGTCAAATATGGTC